GCTATTTTCGCTTATTGTGAGTAAATTTCAGTCAATTGTTCTCTAATTGTCACGTTAAAGCAAGTAAGGAAATTTAGTATCTGGCCTGTTTGCAATGAATATGTTCCTTATTCAACATCAAGCGTTTTTAATCAACATCTATCTGTCATGCAACACGACAAACAATGAGACAGTTAGCACTAATTCCTGCCTACAACGCAGATGGGTAGATTTCATAACTGTAGATGAGACAAAAGTGAACAGCAATTGGCAACAAGAAATGAAGCTATATTTCCGTCTGAGTGCCTGATACACGGACTCTAATGATCCACTAGCAGTGGGGACGGTGAGGGAGACTAAAACCCCTATAAAAATACTCTATAGGCATGAGAAACTAGTATATTATTTACTAGCTCGTTAAAATGGTGTCGTGTGTTGCCTAGTACGAAGGTACACATTAACCTCAGTTACAGAAGGAATCTTATTCAGTTATATACTTCAGGTAAGGATTACAGAGGTAAACTCGAGGAAAAAAAATTATTGAATTCGCACATTTACATTATCTCAGTATATTTGGCTTGACGGAATTTGTCTATTTGATTAATGAATTAACCTGATTTCTATCAGCATAGTACATTTAAGAAGAAGATTTTTAATATGAATACTTTCAATGATACTGAAATGCCAGCAATAGATTGCAGCTAAAACGTAAATCTTTTGCCTTTAAAAAAAACATTTGAACAAATCGAACTATGAAGCCTTGCATACTAGATTAAATATTATGTTTTGCGCCTAACATTGAATGTGAAAAGAAAAAGATTATCAAACTCACTGCATGGCATATGGAATGTTTGTTTTATCAGGAAACAGGGAGTAGGCGATTTAACTTTTAGACCAGGAATTAATTAAAGAACTATTCCTTCCTTTCTACTTAAGAGGCTAGCAATATGAAAATTTATTAATTTTTACCAACAGCTTTCATCCTTACTATACATAAAGTAATTATTTATCCATAAAGGTTAGGACGTATATTACTTTACTTCCTTGAGAAGTATATCTGGTAGAAAGAAGAGATAAGTCCAATTATGCTAATTTCCTCCTTGTGGAATGCTCGACCCTCTATCCTCAAAGCAGATATTTAAGAAATGAGTGCCTTAATTATAAAACAAACATCGCCGACAGCTATGGCAAATATATGATTTAAACAAGACATGATATTAAGACTTTGCATGACGCATTCAGTTAATTTTTTTCTTTACCAGAGGGATGGGTAAGAAGAAATAAATCGTTAATTGCTCTATCTTAATCATGGATTCATTATGGACTTTATCGACTACTCTTCCAATAAAGTATGTAAATGCAGATAGTTACAGTAATCGAAAAAGTATTGTTTTAG